AACCCTGAAACAACCTCTGGGCTGATCTAAGTCAGGGCATGGCTATAACTCACAGATCAAACCCTGAAAAATTCTCTGGGCTGATCTAAGTCAGGGCAAGGCTAACTCACAGATCAAACCCTGAAACAACCTCTGGCCTGATCAAAGTCAGGGCATGGCTATAACTCACAGATCTAACCCTGAAACAATCTCTCTCAGTATGATGATTATAGTGGTGGTAATGATAGTGACCTCAAGATAATAATAATGGGACATTGATGTTGCTACTTGATAATCAATCACAGGATTCAATAGGTTCAGAAACTTTTATTACAAAATCTGAAGCCAGCTAGGATGTCATCCTATGAAAGTTATAAGCAACTGACTTGCTCTCAGCTCTAACTTTTTACTTGCAGAGATCTTATGGCAACTAAGTGAAGCAACAAGAATTGAAAACTCTACCATTCACAGACTTTAACTCCTTTTTCAAATTTATAAATTTACTTTTAAACATTAGTCCTGAAAATATCTTGCTATTATTATTGTACACTGTTTGCAACCTATTAGTTCATTATGGGGTTTATTAATATGCATTACTTATTGTATATATTATTAACTATTATTATGAGTTTAATGGATTTTTGAGGTTATGCTTTAGTTATCTAAACAGCATTCTTATTGTTGTGGCATTCATTCAAATTTAAGATTCAAATTTAACTTAAATAAAAGAAACAAAATGTGACAACATGTAAAGAGTTTAATTCATTAAAGTACAAAATTACTTTTTTACTTTGGTCTTATTTTATATGAATTACTGCGATTTTCTTAAACATGCAAACTGTGTCTGCAAGCTGCACACTGAAATTTGGTTTTTCGCTGCCATCTATCAAACCTAATTACTCAGGGTACCCTTCATACTTTTGACTGGCGGCAATGAAAAAACAAATTTCAGCGTGCTACTCGGGGACAGAGAGTTCACATGTTTATGAAAATAGCAGTGAGAGAATTATTGAAAGGTAGTGTTATTTTTCTGTAACATCTGAAACTCCTGTAGAGATTTTGACTTCTATTCCCATCTAAATTGCAAAAAGCAGATAGAGCTGTACTATGTTACACTTTACTGCCTTTGAATAATGGTTTCAAATCAAGGTATTTGGGTCAATGCAATAAAATAATGTATAGAAACTGACCCGAATGCAACAATACTCCATTTTACAGTTCGGTTCCAAGCCGAGGCTGGAGTTTCCATGCATGATAAAAAGTATAGTTTTGCTATGAGCATAAACTGCAGCCTCGACTTGCAACGATTATTCGTGGTCACTCGAACGGAACTGTAAAATGGATTATTATATGACCGTGAATCTTAGAGCCTGGACACTAGCAAATCGAGCAATCTGATTGGATAGATCACATCGCGGACTGGTCTAGATTCTCTGGTATTAACCGGTCCGATCGCATATTAATCTTACGGYGAAAACATTTTGTCCTTTTCAATGAAAAGTGGTCATATAATAAAACTCTTATCAACCGAGCTTGGTCGGTCTGTACGGGATAATCTTGACCTCTGTCTGTACATTCCGACCTCAGTCAAGATTATCCCATACAGACCTCCCGCTCGGTTAATAAGATCTAGGTATTGTTTGAAGGCAATAGATTGTTACTCTAATATCAGCTATTTGATAGAAGGAAAAAAGCCACAAAAAGTAGCAACATTGAGTATTAATTTTTAGGGCACTCCTACTAATACTAAAATACTTACAATAACATAGACATTGTTGTCACTCACTACGTCAGATAAAAACACTTTATCTTGGAAATAACGGCGACATTTTTTAGCTTTGCGGAAGTTGTAAAGTTATCCTTCTATCTAGTGGTTAACTTATATTGAAATAAACAACTAAAATTTGGTTATAAACTGTACATAAACACCGAAAACAGCATAGATTCTAGATGAGAAAACCAAAATGGTACTTCTGAAGTCCAGCATATTTACCATGCATAAATGCAAGTAAGCACTGCCTGGTTTAAATCATGATTTTGAAATTTGATGACTTTTATCCCGACAAAGCAGCCTTTAAATTGGAATTTTTCTTACATCTAAATCTTTTAGTCTACATCTACATTTTACTTATAATAAACAAAAAATGTTAAATAACTTGGATGCAGAGTCCTCATTCAGACTTGCTAAAGACTAAGCAGAATTATAAAGGATTTATGAACTTATACATATTATATGGTACACCAGATCTTTCTGCCTGCCTGTTTACTTAAATTAATATCTTACTCAAAACTTAGAAAATAAAAAAGGACATTTAGCACTTGAATTGCTACGCAGATACACAAATGTAGATATAAACCAAGTATAGTGACAAGGAACTTCATGTATGCTATAACAAAATTAGACTCTAAACTACAACACCCTATATTTAATATTACAGTGGTTCTGGGAAAATAGGTTTTGATAAACAAAATATTTAAAACTTTTTGTACTGCATAGCTTAGTAACACCTTGACCATGGGGAATATTAGCTTTTTAAACTTACTGTTTAATGGGTTAGAAAAACAAATTTACTTTCTTTCGGACTATTTGACAACAACAATGACATGCAAAAAAATAGCTTCCTTTGACATTGAATATACCATAAATTTAGGAATTAAAATATCTGCAAAAACCAGGGGGAAAAGGCCAATAATTAAACCTTTTCATAGTGAAATTAAAGTAATACATAAAAAAAGTAGCCATGTAAAGTGCCAGGGTTTAATTTAGAGATTGGAGCATCTGTACCAAAGCTACATTTTGTCTACAAGTGTACAAATTTTATACTTTCTTTATATTATAGCACAACAAATGTTGAAAGTCATTTTTTTGCATGCCAAACTCAGAGTTTTGATACTTCTTATACCACTACATTCTCTTTACTTAAAACCATAATCACATTCAAAATCCTCAAACTTCACCTCTCTTAACCTTTTCGTCCTCAGTGTCACATAAGGTCTTAATACTGAAAAATTCTCAAAACAAAATCCTCATTGCATTTGAATTTTAAAGGAGAATTTAAATATGATTATGGTTTCTTCTGCTGTGCAACGAGAATGCTGTGCTAAGTTTTAAGCCAGGATCAACGATCAGCCAAGATGAGGACCAACGCTATAACGGATAGCGCTACTGTTGACCAGCCACCTCCATAGGACCAACTGAAGTAGATGTCACTCTCCCAGTTAATGAAGGTATATACCAACAAGCCAATCACGACAAAGAGAGCTGGAAATATAATACAATATTCATCAGCATAAATATTAAAGAACCAGTGCTCTTAACTTTTATTGTCACTGAACCTTGGGCTACTAGAGCTGAGGTTGAAGAAATAATTGGTTTGAGTTGCCATTGAAGAGCATTTAGCTTCGAACATGAAAATATGTTCCTCACTCTGAATGGCTGACCTCCTTCAATGCTCTGATTAGGCCAAACAAAAAAATGAGTGTGTTTCCTGTTGCATGAGAAAAATGATTGGGGTCAGTAGGTCGGGATTTTTTTACTGATACAACAGTGGAAATGAGCTTACTGGGAACCCTGTGGTGCATTTGGGAATGAAAAAAATATTAGGGTCGGCAAAAATTGGCAGGAAAATTAGGGTCAGTCGCGCAACAGGAAACACACTATTTTTTGTTTGGCCTTAGCTGACCCCTCCAAAATGTGCTATGATTGGCTAACCCTTTTCAAAATGCGCTCTGATTGGCCACCCCCTCCAAAATTTGCATTCCCTCTCAATAAAGTACAAATGGTTCTTGTGAGCAAAATGAATACAAGAAAAAATAGAGAAAAATGCAAAATGAATACAAAGCAAAGTAAAGCTTAAAAAAGAGGGTAAATACAATTATCACGTACCAGCAAATAAGAAGAGGCCACAGACCCAGAAAACTGGGAAGGGTTCTCCTTTACGGCATGCATTGACCAAGGCAAAGATGAATGCAATCAAGTGGCAAATCATTGCAAGAATAATGAATGCAACAACRGCACCAGCCCAATCTGGAAAACAAATACAAAGTTGTTATGATAATTGGTTAGATCAGAAGAGAGATTTCCAGGGTTCAATCTGTGAGTTGGCCATGACATGACTTAGATGTAAGCCCAGAGGCTGTACAAGGTTTGATCTGTGAGTTAGCCATACCCTGACTTAGATCAGCCCAGAGGCTGTTTCAGGGTTTGATCTGTGAGTTAGCCAT